AAGGTTATAAGAGAGAGAGGAAAAAATATTTTATGCTAAGTCCTAATGGACTTAGAGTTTCTCAGACTTGGCCTGGAGAATAAAGGTGTCTTTTATAAACTGTTTAGAATATTAAAGGTAACTTTTCAGAAAAGTGAGGTTTTCCCTACATATCATAGTAAAAAAATAATATTAGCAGGTTAACAGAAGACTTAGGAGTTATCATATAAATAGTAATAAAATATTTGGGAGATTTTTTTTGCCAACTTTGGTTTGGGATATTTCCTAACTCAGTAACATAGAAAATATCATTAGACCAATAGAATTTTTAAAGTTTCTATTAGCCAAATAACCTGCTTCTCATGTGGTCATGGCTACAGAGGTACTAAATCCGGCTACTCTTAATAATCACCTTCTACCTGAACGGTATCTTCAGAAAGGCTATATTTCCATTGTCTGATTACAAACATGCATCTCATGACATCAAATCTCAGAGGATACAAGGTTTATTTGTTCAAAAATTTCAGGTTGACTTTGCTACCTAGACTATGCATTAGTATATAATCAGAAATCTTTTTCTTATATTTTCTGATTTTATCACCTGTGTATATATAGAAAACCTCTGCTATGCTAGTATTCTGTATGCCACAAAGTTGCAATCAATTGTGTCTAATATTGCAGACTTCTCCATGTATGTGATACACTTTTCCATAGACTCATCAACTCTATTTAAAGTCTTTGATCAGCGGGGCAACTCACTTGCTAACCACATATTCCCCAGTGTTACTTCCTTGCCTTCTCTCATATCTGGGAAACGATTTCACTTTCGGAAAGATAAAGCTCTAATGAGCCCTTAGGAATCTTTGTTCAAAGATGTCCAGTCCACCAGGGATCAGCTAAGAAGGTGTCTGAAGTGTGAATTACTTACTGATTAGAAACCAACACTAGATTTTTCTCTATTTCTTGAGGTCACCAATCAAATTCAATCCATGTTCTAAATTCTATCCAACAGCAAAGCCCTTTTTAAAACAAAGCCATTCTATTTTTCTTTTTTCTTCCTTCCTCTTTTTTTTTTGTTAAGAAAAATATTTCAAATTCACAGCTTTCAAACTTTGTGCTGAAGGAAAAATTATGCTTTAATAGACCTTGACCCTTTACAAACAGTAAACCATTAAATGACTTAAATAATGCACTTGCTGCCTCCCCAGGGCTAAAATGGGGTTTATAGAAAATGTAATTATCACTAAACAGGGTTGGATTATTAATAATTAGAAATTTGTTAGGAATTTTATAAATGCAAAGTCTAAAAGTATTTTAAGCAGTCTATAGCATTTGTAAAATATAAAGGGTAAAAAAGAGTGGTGAGTGAACCTCTTTAGTTTTTCCTTTCATTGAATTTTAGAAAAATTTCAGCTTTTAATTAGCTTTCAAAAATATGGGAAAATCTGTACACTTCTATACCTTGAGGTTTGTTTTCATTAGTTGGAAAGCAACACCAGCTGAGATGCCATTTAGACCAGATGGAGTTAAGCCTGGGTGAGGAGTCTATCTTCTTAGGTGGCACAATGAACACAGCAATTATTTGGGGGTATGTGAGGATTGAACACTGCTCTGCAAAACTCCACAATAACAATGTATCCTGACTTGTTGGAGAGGAGAGTCCTTTTTAGAAAACCTTCAATGCTTAACAACAACAAAGAAGCAAAAAAAAGAAAAGAAAAGAAAAGAAAAAAAGAAGAGACCAGGCGTTGTGACACACGCCTGTGATCCCAGCGGCTCCAGGGGCAGAGACAGGAGGATCTCAAGTTCAAAGCCATTAGCAAAACTGAGGCACTAAGAAAATCAGTGAGACACTGTCTCTAAATAAAATATAAAATAGGCCTGGGGATGTGGCTCAGTGGTTGAAGCCCTGGGTTCAATCCAAGGTACCTAAAAGAAAAAGAAGAAGAAGAAAAGAAAAAGAGGGGAAAAGAAAGTGAATGAGTTGAGGAAGGAAACAGAAAGAAGGGAGGTAGAATGAGAGGAAGTGAGGCAGGAAATCATAAAAAAAAAATAAGAAAACCCCCCAAAGTTTTTTGTTTTCTTGCAATGCTGGTGATTGAACCCAGGGCCCCATGGCATTCTGGGCAAACACTCTTACCATTGAGCTCTGTCCCCAGACCTTCAAAAAGTAATTTATGACTTTGTGTACTAAGTAGAAAAGGATTATTACCTTGTGTCATCACAATATGCAGGTTTCTGCTATTTGGTCTTTCATGTTAATTGTCATTTAAATATCTGAGGAACACTTGCAGAGTTTAATGTCAACTAAGGTTAGGATAAAATGTCTTGAATTAGTTAGTTTGTAAAAGTTCTGCAGTTCAGACTATTCCACTGATTGTTTTATCTTATGTAAGAGAGATACCAATCTCCTGAAAGCAACTGTTTTTCTTTTCTCTTTACTTTCTGCCCAGAGAACTGAATAGAAACTTAAAACCTTAAATTAAAAGAATCTTCTCTCATTAAATTCAGAGGTAAGAAGTTAGGAATTGCTTAGTCTAGCAAACTCTCAAAGGTTTGATACCTACATGTATTCTGTGGGTAAATTTTTCCTGGTATGCAACATCATTTGAATATACTGAAGACTCATCATTTACCAAGTTGGTAATAATTCTGATACAAAAATAGGCCTCTGTAGGAATGCAGCTTGAGCTAAGAACAAGCAACAGTGCTTCCTTTATGATAAATTGACACTAAAGTCCAATCCTGAAAATCTTTTATATTATTTAGTCCAGCAGTGATCAAAGACAGAAGAGAGGAAAGAGCCGGCAGCCTCGTATATTTTCTACTGATGTCGAGATAGTGCCAGTAATAGGGAATGCCCGTTACTACCAGGGAGAGCTGGAGAAGAACTTCAAGCTTCACATTTATAAATCTTCTGGAAAAGTTAGAGGCAGGAGAGAAAAGAAAAATTGGCACAACGTCTTCTTGAAGTTCTCTGAAACTACAAATTGTCATTCCCCAGTTTGTGACCAATGTGAATGTAGGTAGAACAAAAGAGTTGGAACATCACTGAAATGCTGTTGGGAATGACAGGAAGATGCCAGGAGTCCCCCCAGGAAAGGAAAGTCCAGTCACTTCCTTTTTTAGGGAATCCCACATTCTGCTGTCAGGCCAATCTTTGTTAAGACCAGTTTTCTCCACTTCACTTCTTGCTTAAAAACTGTGATCACACAATTCACAATGGCCAAACTGTGGAATCAGCCTAGGTGTCCATCAATGGATGAATGGATAAAGAAATTGTGGTATTTATACACAATGGAGTTTTATCCATCCATGAAGAAAAATGAAATTATGTCATTTGTTAGAAAATGGATGAAACTAGAGATCATTATGTTAGGCAAAATAAGTGTCAGGGGTCATATTTTCTCTTATATGTGGACGCCACAGAGGAAAAAGGAAAATAAAGAGGGAAGGCAGAGATCTCATGAAAATCAAGGGGAGATCAGTAGAGAAAAGAGACTGATGATGGAGGGGAGAAAAAGAAGGGGGGGAAGTACTTGGGAGTGATATTGGTCAAATTATATTGTTATAGTTTGGACATGCATGCATATATAAAAAATCCCATCATTATGTGCAACTATAATGCACCAATAAAAATGTGGAAAGAGGAAAACAACTGTGACATCACAAAAGTTGACAGTAGGTTGGTTGAGGGTGGTAACTGCGTCAAAGGGAAAGGAGGGCTGAGGAGAAATGATCGATGATCTCTAAATTACAGTGAGACAGGAGCAAGAAGTTCTGGTGTGCTTTTGCACAGTGGAATGACTAAAAAAAATGATAATGTACTATTTATTTCAAAAAGTTCTAAGAAAGGATTTTGAACGTTTCACCCACAAAGAAACGTTCATGTCTGAGAAGAATGTGCTCAACTATATTTAAACATTATACAATATACACATGCATCCAAATATCACATGGCACCCCATATATGCAACTATTATGTTTTTTTAATGTTTATATTTTAGTTGTAGATGAACACATAACATCTTTATTTATTTTTATGTGGTGCTGAGGATCAAACCCAGTGCCTCACACATGCAAGGCAAGTGCTTTACCACTGAGCTACACCCCCAGCCCGACTTTTATGTTTTGATGTATTAGTTAAAAAAAATGTATTTAAACTTAAGGGAAAACATTTCCATGCTTCCTAATTTCTTATAGGTTATAGAGTTACGAGATGGCTCCACCAAGTTGTTGCATACAATAAAAACTGATGGTCAAATTTAAATCCCATAATGTAAAAAGTTTATGAACAATAGTCTATACTTTAGCTTTTTAAAGTTTAAACAATTATTATATTCTAGTGTATTTTAATTATTATCAATAATATAGAAAATTATTTATATATTTTCATTTCAAAAGTAGTAATTTTCTTTTCAGATAAAACAGTTAATTAAATGACCTAATCCTGAATAACATATCCATGATGGTGCTTACAAAAAGAAAACATATTTTCAGTCTATTCTTCCACTTCTATTGTAGCTTACTAATTGCTCTCATTGACTAAGTCCAATCAGTTATTTTTCTAGTACTCTGATAGGCTCTTTCTCTTTTTTGTTGTATAAGAGTGTTTTCTTTTATCAGTGTTCTCTATTGATTTCATAGCAGAGTTTCCATTTGATTTCATATTCTATGTGATCATTTTCCAATATTTGGCTCCACGTGTTTTTCAAAAAACAAAGTTCTCATCCATATTTGTACTTCTAAAAATTTTTAAACATTTAAATAAATAAAACTTTGAAAATGTATGCAATTTTTACATGGAATATTAAGTTATAATTAAATTAAATGTCAATATATAATTTTTAGAAGAATCTTATGTTGTAAATTGGAGGAGAGCTTTGTATAGACTGTATTGCATTACTTTTGCTTATAACTTGTCATGTAATATTTAAACTTTTATTAAGTTAAAGACAGAGAAGTTGGAAATGTGTATTATAGGATCTTACTCCATGACAGCTGTGGGGTCATAAGCTCACCTGTGGTGATTCCGGAGGAAGGGAAGGAAACCTGTCACCATGCTTGCTTTCTGTTCAGCAGTAGAACTGACTTTCCGTTCTGCATCTTGCCAAGTGCCATGCTTTCCCCAAACCCCACTTACTACAAGTCCTACAGAGATATCAGGGAGAGAGGGAGATAAAAAGAAGGTATTTACCACATTCTAGAATCCAAATACATGTCAGTAACTCTCATCTAAGCAGAATTATGCATTGTTCTGGTACATCATAGTTACCTACTCAGATTACTTATTCCAACATTAGTCTTTTAGTGACTTTTTCATTTATCCCTATTGTTATCTTCTATGCAGATAGGCTCCCGCTCTCTTAATTAATTGGCATGGTGGGCAAATGGGAACAGCCCTTGGCTGGGAGCCAGGAGGCAGGTTCTAGTTCTGGCCCTGCTCTCCAGCAGCTGGCTGGCCCCAAGCATGTCCTTTGCCTCTTTGGATCTCAGTTTCTATGGATACACATCGAGGGAACTGGACCAGGTCAGTCTCTCTACAGAATGTGATGCTCATGAGAAGGTAGCCTTGTAAGAAGCTACACATCCTCTCCTGTCTTTTCAGGGACCTGCCATGTACAGGGACATCCAGTTACAAAGTCATCTTTTATACTTTGTTTATACAGAATTTTCCCCATCATACTGACCACAGAACTCACAGCAGTTTTTCTTCTGTCCATCCTTCCTTCCTTCCATCAAATGCATTGGAAGTGGGAATATAGTATGACTCATGACTTGCAATTTATGTCCCTAAACAATGTAGTCCAAATATACTTTCCAATTGGACATTACCTACTTCTCTACACAAACCTGCAACCTTCATTTGAGCGTATCAGGCCAGTCTGCATGTTCATCTACTTTGCATGTATCCTTCACTCCATGACAGTACCCAACCCTCTGTTTAAGAATTGCTCACTCTACCTTAGTCACATCTCTTATGCTCCTTCTTTCATCTCCTGAAAGGACATCATCCTATCCATTTTACATTTGAATTTCCTTTCCTGGTATCCTGCTTCATCATGTAACTATTCATGCCTCTCCTTCATGCCTCCCAGTTACAAACCGCAAGAGCACAAAGACAATGGGCAGCACACATTTGTAGCACCAGGTACTAATTTGTAGTTGTTGTAGGAGGAAATGACTGATAAAACAGTGGTAAATTGGTCAGGCAAGTGGGAGATCATCAGAGTTTTTAGATTTATTCATGTGTTTGAAAGTTGCATTTTAAAAACAGAACCAGTTTTTTTAAAAAAAAAAAAGGTGGTGGGTGGCGGGAATGAAGAAAAAGGCTACTGCATCTGGCATCGGGAGAACATACTAGGCCTTTGTGGTGGCATTATCCAGTCTGGTAGCTTGAATCCTTGTCCACATGGTTATATACTGAAAAACTGATAAAGACCTTAGTCGTCCTAGAAGAGATAGCAGGATGGAGTGGGAAGTTGAACGATAATGGTATTATTTATAATATCATTTATGTATTCCCAATAATACCAGGAGAAACTGTATCTGTTCAAAGAAGTAGGAGAAAAAGATTGATTTGACAATTTCTTTGTTTTTTTTTTCCCATGAAGCATAAAACTACTCTCTCTTCCAAACTTGAGCATATACACATGATTTCCTGCCTCCCTAGCTTAATGTTCAGTGTTGACTTGAGATGCCTTACTGTGTCTGAATACATCTCACTACCTGATGTGCATTTAAAGTTGCCTTCTCAGCAATAAATAGATCATTCAGGGTTATAGCCCCAGAGGACAGAGGATAGATTGTGGCACTTTTGGGGATCTAAGAAAAGATGCTTGGCTTTGGTACTTTTTCTCCTCTGGAGGAAAACCAACCTTGGAGGTGAATGGGTGGGGACAGTCTTGATAATTCACGCTCTCTTCAGTCGAGCTAATGCTAATATGTGGAATGTCTTGGCTGTTTTTCTTTTTTGCTTGATAAAAGAAATATTTGGTCCTCCATGGATATTGGAAAGGCTTTAGGAAGCTCAGTCGCAGTAGCTGGGTTGGCTATAAAGGGCATTGAAACAGCAATATTTTGTAGATAGTTTCTATGCCCAGCAGGCTCCCCTGGTGTCCCTGTTTTGTTGGCTTTGAGTAAGGCAGAACATTGTTTTCCAAATATACTCCCACTTTCATTATCATCATCATTGTCATTATCATCATTATTGCTATTCTCTGAATCATTCTGCAAAGCAAACTTTCACATATTGAAAGTGGCTGAATATAAGCACTTTAGTTACTTTGTCAAAACAAGGGTCTGTGGGGTCACCTAGTCTTTGTAGCTTCATAGGCAGGGGCCCTCCAATTACAGACAAATGTTCTGAAATTACCTTTGTGTTCCATTCACAAACCACACAGACACATTTTTCTCATTATATGCAATTCCATGATGAAAACAAGGCAACGTGGCATATATACATTATCCCAGAGAAGGTAAAGCCATATCCAGAAGGTCCTAATTCACTGGACAAGAAACAGAAGAAGTGTCAGGAGTTGGGGTATTATGGGAACAGATATGTTCTACTGGAGGCCAAAGTGTTTTTGTATACCCAAAGGTTCAAATCAGGTGTTTATTGCCTAAAACATGTCTGAGAAAATTAATGAGGTAAGTTATTACCCACCATGTCTGCAGTTTTTCCATTACCAGCTGTAAAAGCTGGTAGCAATCTCACTCTACCTTGAAGGCATCATTCATTATAAATTACTTGCTTTCAATCATGAGTAGAATATAGTGAAAGGAAAAGTACCAAAGAAGGTCTTTGCTGTGCATTGTTAAAAGGTGAAAACTGGAGAACTGAGCTTCCATGTTATTGTCAAACTTTCCCAAATGAGATATTTAGAATTCAAATAATTATTTGGTACCTCGATCTTCAGTATTATCTGAAGTAAAAGTGGTGTCTTCCCTTTTCATTCATTTATATGATATATATTATATAAATGACACAAACTTTCACATACTGAAAGTGGCTGATTATAAGCACTTTAGTTGCTTTGTCAAAACAAGGGTCTATAGGGTCACCTAGTCATTGTAGCTTCATAGGCAGGGGCCTATATACTTATATTTTAAAATTATATACACATATTTTAAAATTTACATGTATATTTATGTATTAAATTCATACATACATATACCAATAAGGGTCAGAGACATACACTCCTATCCAGAACAGTAACTTATTCTCCTTGTGGTAAACTCTGCTCCTGACCCAGCTGTTACAGTTAGTTACAGATAGATTTCTTCTTCTAATATCAGGCTTAAATATAGTTATAGATTCCTTTTAGAAGAGAACAAAGATCTCCCTCTGTTGATGGCTGTGATCACACAGGAAGTCATCAAGAGGACTGATTTATAGCCATAAGTAGTTCCTGCTATGGCCAATCTTGTAGACATCTCAACTCAAATATATTTGTACATAGAGATGAATTTCACTGCATGATGGCCAAATTCTTCCTTATTGAGGGCTATTTAAATCCAGACTTAAATTTCTGCTTCATATGGAGCACATGATCTTTCCCCATATGACACAAAAGTGAAATTGGCCAGACTGACAAACATTCAGTCCTATGTACATAACGAAGGGGGTTGGTGGCAAAGATCATGGACACAAAAGTTCCTCAGGGTGTTGCTCATAATGAATTGTGAAATATTAATAGTTTAACTTATTTGAGTTGGGAAAAAAATAAAGATTCTAATTAACTTTACTCAAATGAAATGCAAGATTAATTGAGGTTGCATTGACCATACCCCCACATGCAGTAGGGGTGCCTGATGGATGTTCTCCTTAGGAAATGTGTGATCATGTCTGATAAGCATATGCAGCACATCATTTATTTTTATCAAAGCTCCCCAGGCAGAAAAATTTAAGAGAGAGAGATTACCATTTAATCTGCAAGAACTGGGATCTTTATTCAGCATTACTTATAATTTATGTATTTGAACATTTTGTTATACTTAAAAACTTGAAATCTCAGATCTCCAAGTATCAAAATTGTTGCTAGTTTTCATAGAGTACCATGGGGCATGGTAGTAATAGCTTACTCTTAAATAGATCTCTACTTTGGAACTGAATTATTTGTCTTAGTGACTAATATATATTATATCTCTGTACCAGTAGTGGTTTGTAAAGGAATAAAATATTGTGATCAACAGAAATGCATTCTAGTGTCTTTTTAATGACATTTGTTCATTCACCACATTATTATTTCCTTTGCACTATAAGTTCTGCCAGGATTTGAAGTCATAGAAATGGGTAAGATAAATAAAACTTACATAACTAAACTGAAGATAGGCTTCACTCTAATAATAAAGAAACACCAAAAACCTTAAGTGCTTACAATAACAAAGCCTTCTTTGTTGCTCATATCATGTAATTTTTGAAGTTTGGCTTTGACTCTTCTATGTGTCAATCTTCATTTAACAATTTAGGCTGAAGAAGTAGCCATGTCCCCTCATGCTGGGCTTACTGTAGTGGGAAACAGTAATGGTGAAATCATGTCCTAGCTTTTAAAATTCCTCACTGAGAGTAATATATTTTACATTCACTCACATTTTATTGGCCATGTTAATTCATACCTACAAGCCAATTGTCAATGGGATAGAAAGAATAATCCTTCTGTCAAAGAGATCTGGAAATCAGGTGCAATGAATATTTTTGACAATAACAAAATTTACAATACTGCCTCAGGGAACTAATAGTCTAGATACAAGGATGAAAGTTCTGATTCAGAAGTGCTACAGGGCACTTAGCGGGCAGGGTTCCAAAATAGCATCTATTAATGTCTTTGCCTTACTCCTTATTAAACATTGCAAATGTGGTGCTCTGGTCAATATTTGTGTTTTTCTCATATAAACATACTGAGTTAAGGCAAAATTTTACTTAAATAAAACCAATGTAAGCCAATTGAGGATGGGGGTAAAATATAACATTTAGAATTGTGTATCCAATGAACAGTGTCCTCTCCATTGCGAGGTCATATTGACTAAGTGTCCAATCCAATTGATTGCTCAGATATTGACCATGAGGATCACAGGAGAAAAAAGCTCTGATTTAATGGGAATAGTAGTCACATATCAATAAATCCTCTTGATCATCCAAAATCCGAATG